TTCTTGTCTCTAAAAATCCAATTATCTGTCCCGGCTTCTTACGCCACTGTCACACTGTGCCCTTCACCCTGAGCCCCTCTCCTTATCTCGGAACAGTGGACTGCCCAGCCACTTCCTGCCAGGTTAAATCAGGACTCTCGGTGCCAAAGATAAGGGTGGGTGTGGGTTCTTGGTGTAACCCCCTTTGCCACCCCTTGCTATCCCCAGCCTCCAAGCCACTCTTGGACCGTCTAACTGGGAGAGAGCAAAGCTGTCTCCATCCAGAAGATTCATCCATGCTCTGCGGCTGTTAAAAAGCCAGAGGAGGCTCTATGTGCAGCTAGGGGAAGATCTCCAAGGTGCACCGTCACCTGCACAACGCAAGGGGCAAAAAGGGAGGCTGAGTCTCCAGTTTATAAAGGGGAAGGATTGAAATTTGAATTTGCTTGCGTTTGCACAAAGAACTCTGGAAAGATACTCCAGAAATGAACAGCAATGCATTTCTTACAGGGATGATGGGCAGCTGGAGCACAAGGGTGGGAGGGACTCCCTACTGTGTAATTTTTCTTGTATTTGAATTTTGAAGCATGTGGCAACACTTACCTTAAATAATATAATAATAAATAAAGCAAGTGGTTCTTTAAAGGGGCCCTGGGGCTGCATAGGTCCAAACGTGCCCTGGCCCCTGGAGGCCACACCACTGCAACCCTCTCTCACTGGATGGAGCATGAAGTTGTTAGTCAATGAGGAAGAAGCTGCCGCTGACCAGCCATCACAGCTCCTCTCCCTGGAGGAGCCAGGCTCAGGCCCCTCCACCTTGAGGGTGCAAAAGGAGATGACTGGGCTGGGAGTTTGGAAGTCCAGGAATATTTAGGTGAGGGAATCTATGTTCCTCTGGGGCTGGGCATGGAGCCCTCAGTGGACACCCACTCTGGGGGAAGAAGGTTCCTGCTACACCATCTTGTTCCTCCCATGAGCCTTTCCGCACCCCCAGTATCTTCCCCAATGACTTATATTTGCTGTCTCACTCAATAAGCATTTGCATAGCACCAAGTGATGCACATTGCACGTTGCCTGGAGATGCTCCAATCAAAGAAACCATTATTATTCCCACTTTACAGATATGGAAACTGAGGCCCACACTGGTCCATAAGTTTCCCAGAATGGGCAGAAATGAAAGTCAAGCTGACATCTCCCCTATTTGGAAGTCCTGGTGCTTCCTGCCATGTCACACTTACTCCTGGGTGGGTCAGGTCTGGAAGACGTTGCTTCCATCCTGTCCCTGGTGGAGACCCAAACAGGGGTGGGCTTTTCCAGTTCCCTGCCTAACCAGCTGCCATGGGTGGATGGGACGGGCACAGCTGTGGGCTGAGTGTGTCCTGGCAGCCCAGGGGACGGGGAGTGCTGTCATTATCAGGGGTGTTTCCTGGGTGCTGGATTCACCAGGCAAGAGACTAGCCAACTGCCTCTTCTACCCGCCTAGGTGCTGGGAGTTGAACTGCAGTTTGGGTAGAGTGAAGTGGGCTCCCTGACAGGAAAGGTAGTGGGTGGAACTGTTACTTTAAGTAATGTCAACTGCAAGCCCAAAATAGGTCTCCCAGGCAAGGAGGGAGCTCAGGAAGAGGGAAAGGAAGGTTAGAAGGGCAAGAGAGAGTGCGCATTGCTGGCAGAGCCCCTGCCTCCCATCACAAAGGGACAGAGGGAGGCCTTGGGAAGGGACAGACCAACAGCCTGTCACCTTCCTCATGGCCTCATGTGGGGTCTGGCTGAAGTGAATGGACAGAGTCTTCCACCAAAATTGGCTTATTAAAGTTTAAATTTCACCATGCCTCACTGGCATCAGCAAACAAATCCAGATCCAATGAGTCCCTGGTGCCTTTTTTATAATGTATACTTAAATTATACAAACAAAGTGCATTTTTTACATTTTATTTTTAAAATAAAAGCAGTATATGTACACGATAAAACTCTGATGGCACAGAAAGACATAAAATCAGAAAATAGGAGTTCCTCTCCCTAGTTGTACTGGATACTTCTCCCAAAAGGGAGATAACACGTTCTGAATGCGCCATCTCTGGAAAAATTTTTATGTACACATGGTTGTATTAGTGTGATTCTATGCATGTGTGTTTGTATATGCGCATTTGCATATATGCACGTAAATATACTCACTATTTCAATGTACTCAGATGGTAACATGCCAAATAGCATATCATCATAGCGCTCTTTGACTTTCGAGGGGCAGTGGCAAAAATATTAAATTATTTTTATTGGGTCATTTTGCACGCATGATCCAAAACACAAAACGGGATTCGGTACCCTGAATTACTCAATGGCAGCTCATATCGTGTCATCATTACTCTTGTTCTTAACGGTCAGCTGTGATCTTATTTAGCCTCTTGTGACCTTCTGGCTTTACTCCCATAATTCCTCCACACTCACATATCTCTCGAGAACTTTCTGTTTCATCCTGTATGAGTATTCATTCATGCCTGGGCTGCAGCACTTTTTTATTGGTCCAATTCTTAGTTGATGAAAATTTTAGTTTGCTTCCAGTTTTTCTTTGTTTATCACTGTGATTAAAAGTAATGCTACTGGGAACATATTTTTATCACATTGTTGCAAGTATATCTAAAAGGCCAGGGCCCAGGCGGCAAGTCCTGGGTCAAAGAGCTCACATATTCAGAGAATGAGAGATGTTTCTCCGAGGGCCGGGCCAAGTTACTGTGCCACCGACAGACCTGTGGACACACCCATTCACTCTTGCCTGCCTACACCGGCTGTCTCTGAAAGTCATTGGCAATCTGACGTAGAGGGACCATTATCTTACTTTGCTTTGAATTTCTTTCATCACAACAAAGGCTGAGCATCTTTTCATGAGTTTAGCAGTCGTTTCTATGTATTTTCCTTCCCCTGGTGCTTTTTAACCCTATCTGATTCCATTTCTAAAGGTGGGGAGCCCTTCCAGCCTATCTCTATTTTCATTGCCCCCCTCAGGTCACCCATCACTTTGGAGAGACAAACAGTTTTCCCCAAACTGCCTTCTTGCCTTGGGAGAGACGGAGCGGCAGGCAGGAGTGAGCACTTGGGATGAGGTTGAGGATGAAGGGAAAGAAGCAGACAGATTTGCCAGAGCTTGGGTGCCCGTTATCTCCCCGTCATCACTGCACACAGTAGCAAGGGACAGATAAGAGCTGCAGCCACTGGCAGAGATAAGGGGCGCGGGCAGCCAGAGGCGCTGCTTAATGCTGCAGAGCCGGAGCAAACGTGGCACCTGCCCAGCTGCGAGCCAGGTGTGGGCAGATCTAGCATGGACAGTGGGGTCCTGGGAGATGTGATCTCAGCATCACTTGGCTCACATCCAGGCTTGGAGTCAGGCTCAACGGGCCGCTAGCCCAGCTTCTTATTGCGTGTGAAACTACAGTCAGTGCCAAGGTACTTAAGAACCTCAATTTCTTCTCTCTAAAACGGGGTACCTCCTCCTCCATGGTGTTAGTGTGGGGATTAAGTCAAAAGCTGTCAAATGCCGACCTGTGACAGCTGGCAACTGTGCATGTGAAATAAGAACTGTCAGGCTACTATAGTGGGCTTTGCATAAAACTGAAGTTTAAAACTTTGTTAAAATTGCCTCTATGCTGAAATTAGGTTTCTTTTTTGTCATCTCAGAAATGTCCTTTTTAAATAAAATGCTGACCATACCTATTTATTTTTCTCTCCCTGGCACTTTTTAATATTATTCCTTTTAGTTTTTTTTTAAGCGTTTGTTGCTTGATTCTGTTTTGCTGTTTGGTTCGCTGGTTTTAATGATCTTAGCAAAGTAAAAAGTTGACAGTCTTATGACGAGCCCCATTTTTTTAAGTGTTACCGGTCCATGATATCCAATAGTCTGGGAACTGCTGTGTGAAATGAAGAAATGTATGAAAAATACTTAATACAGAGTCCAAAGCAGAGACGGCGTGCAGATGAGGGCAGCGGTATATCGACACTGTGAAAGCGATGATGATGGTGATGATCATGGTGATGCTGATAGACATGGCTAGGACTCATGTAAAATAAAACTAGCCACTCTGGGAATCCCAGGCTTGATGTGCCCTAGGGACAAGTGACAATGAACTTGTCCGCCAAAGCAGACCGGCAAACCCTAGGACACCCAAAGACTGAGGAAAGATATCCTAACCCCAAATCCTTATCCTTCTGAGGATCTTGCTAGACCTTGCCCAGGAATGGGAAAAAGGATCACCCAGGGTCACCAGGACAACTAAGACCTGGTCCCCAGTCCTCTCTATACGGCTGATCCCAGCCACCTATGTCTCGCTGTCAGAAACCCCTCTCACGGACCATCTCGGCCAGGTAAGCATGCCATACACTTGCTCTTCAGCCACCTTCTTCCTGTCTAGACTCTGTAGCTCTCTCGGTAGCAAGAGTCCCAGGAGCCAGCTGCTAAAGGGCTGGCTTGAAATCATGCATGCAGAACGTGGCCTGTCACAGAAGACTCTGCCTTCCCTCTACTGAGCTGTGGTGGAGCTGCCTGTGATGTTAAGGAAGGGCCAACAGAGCATTTGGCGAAATGTATAAATTTCCCTGCCTCTGTTACCCCATCCATTTCAAGTAATGTGACAGCACAGTCCTGGGCCTGGCCCAAATCCAGATGCCCCCACCCCTCGGTCATGTGTGTCACAGGCAGGGAAGGACACCACCCACCAAGAGTCAGGCAGGGAAGGTCAGCAGCCTCCCAGGAAGCCAGCACAGCTCTAGGTAGCCTGGCCACGGCAGGGTCAGACTCAGGCACAGCTCCTCCTTGGGGAAGTGCAGGCCATGCAAAGCCTAGTTGTCTGTGGGAAGGACCCATTATTTATAAGGACCTTTCTGTAATCCCATGACAGAGCCCAGGGGTCAAGAGCTCCCCTGGTGCTCTTAGTTACAAAAAAGGTGACCCTGTGACCTTTGACCCTAAACCCACTCTGACCTCTGCACCCTGCCTCTGCCTGCCTTGTTCACTGGCTGTCTTGTCTATCCCCTAGGTACATGATCACCAGCCTGGATCGCACCCACGCTGGCTTCTACCGCTGTGTTGTTCGGAACCGGATGGGGGCCCTGCTGCAGCGGCAGACCGAGGTCCAAGTGGCCTGTGAGTATGACAGGGACCTGGGGCCAGGAGAGGATCTACAGGGCCCACACCCACCCACCATACCCTGGGCAGAGTCAAATCCACTGCCTTGGGCCAGTGGTGGCCCTTTCCATCTATCCTGGCAGGTCCCTGCGTCTTACCTTTGGTAGAACCAATGCCCAGAGACAGGATGAGAGCTCCGAAAGGTCACACAGCTGATCAGTGGCTTATGCATCTTCTGGCTCTGTAACCCTGTGAGAGGCCAGTCAAGAGATCCCTGGCCCTGTTGGTTCCACAAGAGGGAGACCTCTTCTGTGCTCTCTAAATAGGAGTGGCCCATTGGTTTCTTGAAAGTGGGCTTTGCCACTGACTTTTAGGGCTTCCTGTAAGACCACTTCATACATGGGGACGTCTCTTTAGAATGCCAACTTGAACCTTACCAGCTACTGAACTCTTGCCGGCAGATTTCCCAGAGCTCCCATGACCTTGACTTTTCCGTCTTCTGACTCACTCAGCCTTGGAGCAGCTTGGGGCCAAAGTGATCTCCAGGGGGTTTTAGGTGGAGTCTCAAGTGGGGAAACTAGAGCTCAGAGAAGGAGAGGGAAATGATGAATCAGGGCTCCCAGTTGGGCCGAGTGGGCGGAGGCTAAAGTGGCAGGCCCTCTCCAGCCTCTGGGGGTGACGGCCTTCTCCCCAGTACCATCTATCTCTAGGAAGTCTGCCTCAGCTACAGAAGGGAAGATGGCATCAAAGAACTCCAGGGACTAGGCCCTCGCCCCGTAACTCAGCATCCCCCACTCAGAACTGTCCCTTCCTCAGTTATTTCTGTCTGCTGGAAAAGGGACACGTTATAGGCTGCTTCATTCTAAATCTGTTAGTGAGGGAGGTCCAAGTCCACATTTTAGGGTATGGGGATATGAGAATCCTTACTGAGCCCTAAAATTTCACAAAAAAAAGGCCATTCCCTCATCAGAGCCCATGGGGCAGACTCTGAACTAACGCAGGCCAAACTTGCTTCTCAGAAGCCGTGGAGAGAGATCTAAGAGCAAATCTCATGTGAGACCGAGTGTTTATAATAATTATGGAAAACAGCTGTAATCAAAGCGGAGGATGCTTGTCCCATAAATCAAAGACAATCCAGCTCATGCCCAGCTCATGCCACAGGAGTAAACCTGGGCTCCCAGCACTGGGCTGTGGCCAGCTGTCAGTGCCCGAGGATGCCCATGGAGTTTCATTTAGCCCATCTGAGGGTTCAGTGTGCAGGGCAAGGTGTGGCTGGGCCTTTGCAGAGACTGCAGGTGCATGTGTTAGCACAGTGTGTGCAAACATGCTTGTGAGGGTCATCTGCCTCTTCCTTGAAGTGTGCAAGGAGAATCATTATACATGCAAATCTGTGCATGTGGATATGTGTGCCCCATGCACATGAGCTTGAGTCATGTATCTGAGTCAGTCTGCCTTTCCATTCACCTGTGCCTTTGAGAAAACATATGTGTGTGCAAGTGTGTACCCATGCATCGCATGTATCTGTGTATGCACATGAGTGTGTGCATATGTGTATCCATGTATTTGTAGTATGTGTTCCCAATTGTGTGTATGGATGCACAAGTCTGGGTGGATCTGCACCTTACCTGTGTACAGGAGCAAATGATATGGGGGGTAGGGGTGTGCGCATGTGTATGTGTGTCTATGTGTGCAATTGGAAATGCCATACAGGACACAGGAGTCCAGGCTGTGGCAGGTGTAGGGTGGGGCATCTGCTCCAAGCCCTAGACTCATGGAGACAATAGGAACTTTCCAGCATTGAGTCCCTGAGACGTGATGACACTGCCTCCTGGGTTGGCTGTGCTGATGAAAAGGGGGAAGGAAGGGAGGTCATCATCTACATGGCTGAGATACTCCTTGCTTTGAGCATGATGGGGATCCAAGAGCCCCAGACCCAGACCCTAACCCGCAGCCTATATGCACACCTGCTCACACAGTCGGAAACCCAGCATGGGACACGTGGTGAGTGGTCCTCCCTAGAAACCAGGCCAGACAGGTACGTGGTCCCTGCCTCAGGCCCACAGGGGCCCTACTGCCCTAGAGCTGCAGGGTGGGTGTGGCCACACCAGATGCACCTGTGGAGGGCAGAAGACCTTCACTAAGGACCGATTGAGCCTGGTATTTTCCGTAGGGTACAGCCATGAACCTACCCTTGACCCCTGGTCAAACGCCAGCTCATATTTTGCAAGCTGTGTGACCTTAGGCAAGTTCCTAACTTCTCCATAGCTTCATGTCTTCATGTATAAAAGGAAATGCTACCATGAGCCCCTGTTTGGCTGGGTGATTGCGAGGATTAATGAATCAGTGCCCACAAACCATTGCAAATGGTCCCTTGCCTGGATGACACCGGGGGAGAGCAGACTTCTGTCCCTCCAAGATGTCAGCCAGGAAAGGCAACCTAGAATAAACATAGACAACCTTCCATTCGATCTATGCAAGTACAGCCATTCCTTGCCTCTCCTCTGCTCTGCAGGGCTGGGACCAGGGGAGGCAGATAGGGCGCAAGGTACGTAGTCTAAGGAGCCCTCCTGCTCAGTCCTCAACCTGAGCTTGCGTGACCTGTGAGTGGGATCCTCACTCACCCAACTCGATCTTGGTCCCACAGCTCACACAGGCTTCTGCCTCTGTCTGCCTGTCCCTCCGCCTTCATGAGCGTGGATAGGGCGTAGCTGCTTCTTTCAGAGCCTCCCCTCTCTGGCTCTTTCCTCTTCCCATGAGAAGGTTTTGTCCCTCTCCTGCAAGCAGCCAGTTCGGTGGTGGCTATTGTCCTTTGCACCTCTTTCCAGGGATCGTGGATCCAGGCAGGCTCCACCCTGGCTCCCAGCCCTTCCCAAAGAGGGCCTATGAATTGGGTTCTAATGAGAAATTAATAAGGCAGCTGTGCTAACAACTAATGATAATGGCAAAGTCGTTACAGAAAGATTCTTTACATGTTTTTAATTACAGCAATTAAGAGCAAGTCAATAAAACATCTCCCCCCCCCAGCACCCTTCCTGTCCCCACACAGAGCCTCTTCTTTGTATTTTTAAAGTCACCATAAATTTCTGGCATTCAACGAGTGTGGTGAATGGCCAAGAGGGTTGGGAGAGCGCTCCAGCATCCACAGACTTCCCCGAGCCTGCGGTTTGCCATACCCAGGTTCTGCAGGAACCTTTGTGTTCTCGCCTGAGCGATGGCCCCAGCCCCTCCCCAGGCCTCACAGGCATGACTCTGACTTGGAAACGCACCCCCCAGCACTAGACTCAGCCACACACCGGGGCAAGGGCCCTGCCCACCCCAAAAGCCCCGCCATCTTCCCCTGCTAAGCAGCAGGTTGGCAGTCCCTCACCTACAGTGGGGAGGACCTGTGGGATCAGCTGCAGTCCCGGGGGCTGGCAATGCCCCAGACACCTCCATGGACCGCTGTTCACGCTCCCCCATCCGAGGCGTGAGTACTGGTGCAGGCCATCAGGGACGCGCAGCCGCACAGGATACCATCGTGGCATCTGTCTGGTCATCCCCTCTACCTGTAACAACCGTCATAGCTGCATGGTGCCCCACTATAGGCCCAGCACTGTGCTACGCAGTGAAGACACGATAGAAGATAAAACCAGGACACCTGTCCCTGTCCTCAGTGAAAGTAGTGGGGAGATGAAAGCTAAAAGGTGAATGTAGAATATGATGTATGATGTCCTTAAAGGGAAATATGGGAAAAACAAAGACAAGTAAGAGAGATGGAGGATGGGTGCAGGGCTCTTAACTGACACTGTCTGGAGGGTGACTACCCTGGGGAGATGACAGTGAGCAGAGTCTCAAAGGAAGAAGGGAAGATCATTCCTGGTCAGAGAAAAGCAAGTGCAAGGGCCCGGGGCAGTCCTGGGCTTCTGAGGCTGAGGTGGCTAGAGTGGATGAGGAAGCAGAGAGTAGCAGGAGGCGAGTGGGAGAGACGGGCACCCCAAGCTGTAGTCAGAACGAGGTGGAAGTCTTGGGGGCAGAGGCGCGATCGGATCTGGTTGGAGGAAGACAGGTTTTCACAACACACACATAAAACCACAATGAAATGTCCCTCCATGCCCACCAAACTGGCAAGACCCAAGAGGGCAGCCAGAACACATACGGGAGGAAGCCCATACCACTGCTGGCCAGCCGGAGGATGAGCTGGTAAACTGATGAAATTTGAGCAACTTTACATTATGAGTAAAAGTAACACACACATACCCTATAGCCCAGCTGCTCTATTTTGGAGTACAGCCCCTAGAGACCCTCACAGCCTGTGTACCAGTGAGCCCCAAGAAGCCGTTTGCATTCTTAGCAGGAGAGCAAAGCATGCGGATCAGGCCATGCAGGCACAGCATGTGTCATTGTGACCCGTGGAACGCCACACAGCCATGAACATGACTAAATTAAAGGTAAGGGTCTGGCTAGAGTGAACAAAGTCATGTTGCCCCGAGAAACATATCACAGAAGGCTACCTACAAAATAACCTCAGGGGTAAGGGCTTAAAGCAGCTAAATTAGCCATGAATTGTTTCAGGAGGCACTTGAAAATGGGGAGATGGAGAAAAAAGCTTGGCCATCATCGCCACTGCGTTCAAGAGAGAAATTAGCCCTGCGAGGATGTGGGGAGGGGAAGGACCCTGGGAAGGGGACAGCATGTTGGCTGTGATCTGGCTTTTAAGCTGGGTGGTTGGTATGTGAATATTATTCTTTTTAAACTATCCATGGAATCATACACACTCTTTTGTATGCATGACATAACTCATGAGTTTAAAATGATTTTAAGATAAAGAAAAGCAATGAACATATTCTGAAGTGGAATACATAATTTACAGAACCTTTTAACTCTAACAAAGAACAAGTTCTAGGCCACATCCAGCGGGGCCCCAGAACCACACTTCCTGCTCTTGGGGGAATGTGTTAGTGAGGTTAACTCGGCCCTACAGACGTGTGTGTTCATTTGCCATTGTGGCAGGGAGGTGAACACGCAGCACTTCGGGGAAC